TCTGCTCTTGTGAGACCTCACTTGGAGTATTGTGTCCAGTTCTGGTGTCCTCAACATAAGAAGGACATGGAGCTGCTGGAGCAAGTCCAGAGGCCACAAGGATGATCAGAGGGCTGGAGCACCTCCTGTTCAGCCTGGAGAAGAGAAGCTGCATGAAGACCTCATAGCAGCCTTCCAGTATCTGAAGGGGGCCTATAAGGATGCTGGAGAGGGACTCTTCATCAGGGACTGTAGCAATAGGACAAGGGGTAACGGGTTCAAGCTTAAACAGGGGAGATTTGGGGTACATACAAGGCAGAAGTTCTTCCCTGTGAGGGTGCTGAGGCGCTGGCACAGGGTGCCCAGAGAAGCTGTGGCTGCCCCATCCCTGGCAGTGTTCAAGGCCAGGTTGGACACAGGGGCTTGGAGCAACCTGCTCTAGTGGATGGGGTCCCTGCCCGTGGCAAAGGAGATTGGAACTGGATGATCTTAAGGTCCTTTCCATCCCAAGCCAGTCTGTGGTTTTATCATTTTATGTACAGGCTGATTTTACTTGACATTTCCAAGACTATGCTCAGCTACTGTACAGAACATAACTGTGGGACTATGTGATTTCTAGCTGCTGGCACCCTGGGAAACCCCCAGTAGGTATAGAACGGCCTTTCTTCCATCAGGTTTGAGCAGTGTGTTAGTAACATCGCTGTCCTGCTCTTCTAATGTTACCTCCACACCATAATTTACAGCAAAAGCCCCATGAACTGAGTTTGACCTACACAAAGATTTTTGGAGTGCAACTAATTCCCGTACAAGTCCAGGTTTAGGCTGAGTGTCAGCCTAAATCCTTCACTCTCCACAACTGCATGAATGCCTCCATGGCAATTTCTTCCTTGTTTGGGCAAATGTTTCTGTATGCACTAACTGTGAATTCCGGTTCATCGCCTGCTTCTCCTTAGTGAAACTAACAGCAGTTTCACATAAGACAATTTTAAAAGGCAATCATAGATCATCTATGTTACAAAATGTATTGCAGCACTCTTTTTTTTCCACAGGAACATCAGTGAAATCTTCCAATGCTCATAACAACGTGGATTCCAAGCCCAATACATCAACAACTGCTTTCTTACTGTCGTGCTTTTAGAAGCAAAGAGGCTGTGACCTCAAATGCTGTAACCCAGTAATTCTTGAGAAGTGTTTTTGGCTGAAATGAAGCTACCAACCAAATGTGACACAGCTTGGACAGGAGAGAATGAGGGGTAAATGCACTGAAAATCCCCTTTCAGTGAGAGGAGTAGGGCACACTGATTGGCCACCTTCACTTGAGTGGTACATGGGAAGATGGTCTTGTCTTTCCAGCCACCCTCTCAGACATCCCCCTGTCTTGCAAGGGGCAAGCATTCCATGGTTTGTTAATGGGAGGTAACATTTACTAACTTGTCAGCTCCTCTGCAGGAACCAGGAGTTTGTGCTCTCGTGCCCAAGTATGTGCAGAGTTTGCCTAGAGTGGTGGAGTAACCTACTTGAAGTAAGTTTCTTCTTACTGCAGGTACCACCATAGAAAAGCAGCTAGCATGACCTTGTTCATGCCTTGTAACACATCCTTTCTCACTTCACCACATACTTGGGTTGCCAGGTCCAGAGCTACTGCCCTTTTGCTTTTGACAGAAGATCTGTGCTATATTTACATACCAAAGCAGTATTAAGCACTCATTAACAGAAACTCTGCTAAAAAGGGTGCCTCTTATTATACAGGACTTACAGGAACTTAACATTCAGGACAAACAACCTATTTATATCCTGCTCTAACTAATCAGAAGCCACTGAAGCATTACAAACCCATGCCTTGCAGTGAATACACTGCTATTAGTTTCTCGAAGCCAGCAATGCCATGTAAGTTATGATTCCTGTTAACGATTCAACTGGTTTCTAAGGCATACTGGCACAAGAGCCACATCTACAGCAATCCACACTCTGCATGTTTTGGGACTAAGTTTAAAGGCGAATAATCTCATGGTTTTCATCTCTCCTGTGTGTCAATCAAACTTTTCAGGATAAAAGTCACAGTATACTCAACAACTTCTATAACGCTATTTCAGGATTACACAGACGAGGGGTGTTATTATCAAACACCATCACTTTTGAAAGCCACCCGTCTCCAAAAGGGCAGATACCTTTTTCCATAATAAATAGTAAAGTCTTTGAAATAAGCCATAAAAACATAGAGAACTAGAAATGTATGCAAATGATATCACAGGCCTTGCTTTTCTCTACCAGCAGGTAACTTACCTTCACATCATTACTTTCAGGTCATGAACAGCGCATAACTAATATAATATCCCATAATATTCCTTGTAAATGCAATCCATTAGTAATAAAAACACTCTTTGCCTGCGCCCAGGCAGAAATCATGATATGCAGGGTGAAGCAACCTTCCTGTAAAACAATATCCTAACTTTATCTAACATCCAGCATTAATTGACCACTCATGATCCAGCTGACATGCACCTAAAAGCCAAGTCCTCAAAACATAGCGCACCCCCACGGCCCAATCTTTTCCCTTCACGCAAGCATTTATCCTCAGCACAAACTCCAAGTGGAAAAAGGTTACAGCACGTGATGTGCTTGCAGAGGATGCTGCACTTGAGCTAATGAAGCTAGACACAGTGCAGATGAGGAGCTTATACAGCATGATTAATCTTTTTTCATTAGGAAAAAAAACATCTAGGTAAAACTTGTCAGAAGTAATCAAGCCTTTTGCTGCGGAGTGATGAAGTCGCTACCCCATTCATTGTTGGCACAGACTACATTTGCCTGTACACAACCAGCTGTAATCAGTTCAATTATTTAAGGCACAGAGTGGAAAAGAAAAAAACCCACAACAGAACTGTTGCCTCTTGATTACCTGTCCTGACCTGTCTTCTTGAAATGTGCCTGGTGCTCCAGACCAGAAATTAAGAGACATCAGTATTGGGGAGCTAAAAAAGCTTTGTTCTACAGCATTAACTCCTGCAAAACAGAGGAAGGAGGAGGGGGAAAAGAGACATTATCCATACAAATGAGTACCCTTACCTGCCTCCTTATCACCAGTTCCTGATATGAGAAGCTTTGGACCAAGTGGGATGCTGAGGACACTTAACATTGCTGAACACATTTGACACTGTTCTTTTTCTAGTCACATCAATTCTTCACTTTGTAAAGCAACAGATTTAGTTTTTTTTCTTTCCACTGGGCATGTGAGTACAGCCCATAGCAAAAGAAATAGGGTTTGGATGGCTATTGAAGTGTTCCGGCATTACTCTTCCCACATACTACCTAGTAAGTCAGCTGAGGTCAGTGTGCAGCCTGCCTTTACCACTAAGAATTTTCTGATTAAACTTTGAGCAAAGAAGCCCCCACAATAAAAAAATACAGCAGTGTGGCCTAACAGCAATCTGCCAAGCACCCTAACAGCAGCCACATGCTTCAGAGGACAGGTACAAGAACTTTTATGCAGCTATGAGCAACCTCTTTGAAAAATGAGCCTCACCTCTGATAATAAGAATGATAAAAAGCTGCTGAACAGAAGAGACCCTTCTAAAACTGGCTAAGCTCAGCCCTTTGAAAATAGCCAATCCCTCTGGAAGCATCTTACATTTTAGGGTGTAGCTCTAGTAACATGTTTAGCAACAAAGTGTCCCCCCC